CAACTGCCTTCAAAAGTCATCTTATTAGTAGAGTCCACTTGTGTACTTCAGTATTAGTAGAGCTGTTCTGTGTAAGCCTCAAAGGTTTATTATGGCATATAATCAATTGTGGAGAAGTTTGAAGCAGCTGTGGTTGCAACAGGACAAAATTCGAAGGCGTCTTCAACTTATGTTTATATAAACTGTTTTTTTGAGAAATCCCAGGAAAACGTTACCCACTAACCCAAATAACTGGTTGTACAACCTTTGGGAGCAATAGTGGTACATGATTAATCAAATGTTGATGTAACTGGAAAGACATCAACACAAAAGAAACAGATATTAATTTATGAAATCTTCCCTCATCTCCTCTCTATAAGTCCACCATCAAGTATAGATTTCTCCTTCTGAATTTCTGGTTCAAAAACCTGTTTAATTTTATCTATAAGACAACTTGGAGGTGCACCATTGAGTCATACAGCTTTCCACTGTGTTAAACCGGAGATTATCAAATACAGTTCAGACTCAACACAACCTGTCAGTTGCCCTGAGACTGACAGGTTGCCAGTCTGACGCAGGGCAACACAGAGACACACAGGACAAACGAGGTTTATTCAATAAAAGAAAAATATGTCTGCTAAAAAATAGCTTATTAATTTGTACCTTCTGCACAGCAGTGTGTACAATGTGTAAAACACATCACCGAATCAAAAACACCTGCAGCAGTTAATTAGTCTCTCTGTGTGTAATGCAAGTAAAAAATACAATAAGTAAAAAAAAAGTAAGGAGGAAGTTAATAAGGCAGTTTATGCAATTAAAATAAAGCAAGCCTGAAGATGCTCCACAAAGAGAATGAGGGAGGAGAAGACTGGTTTCTTTAATTGATTAATAGAAAGTTTGGTAACCGAAATAAGCAAAGACTAATCAAGATTCTGATTAATGTATAATCAGGCCTACAGTTTCTGCCGTAGCTATACTTCTGACCCCAAAATGGTTTTCTTTACAGATGTCTGCAAACATTTCATACTTCACAAAAAAGAGCATTATAATAACACATTGACAGAATAAAATAAAGTTTTTAGCATACTATCTTCATTTAGATCCATTTGAGTTAAGTATGCAGAAATTGGAAAACGCTAAAGCAGTTTATTCCATTGTGTTCTGCTCACACTAAAAAAATGAACAAAAAGCGAAAAAAAAAAAAAAAAAAAAAAGCAGGTGAAGCCCACAGTGCTGTGACAAAGCATTGTCAAAGCCCGACAGGTTCTCTAGCTAATTAAAACCTCTGACTCATTCTGTTCCCTGATCACTCCTCACAAAGACTCTTGAGTGGCTTCAATAGGCACGCGCAGGCTTAAGTGAATGTTTACCTCCCCTAATGACTATCTGTCTCAGCGCTGAGCAAATGGAAGTGCTTTGGTCCTTCACATAACTTGCAGGGGCTAGAGAGCCACACAGATGAGTCCCCAGCAGCAGGTTTTTGGGGTCATCTACATAACTACAAAAGGCCATTTGCAGGTTGTCATTATTTTTTGCCGAGTGTAATAATTGCTGAACACCACTGGAATTCGCTGATTCCCTAATATAAGGAACGGTGGGAGTCAGTGTTCTCATCTCTTCTTTGCTGGGAGATAATGGTTTCTTTGGAGAAAAATCTGAAAATGGATGGATCTTGGGGGAAATGACAGGGGCATCTCTCAACAGATCATAAGACTATGTAAGTAATGGACATAAAAATTATTTTAAAAATCTATCTTTGTACATTTTATTTTAAAATGTCCACAATGAAATTTGATTATGACGTCACTCTAAATAATTACTATTATTTTTTCAATAGTAATTAATAATATAATTACTATTGATTCCATAATTAATAGTACTTAATTATGGGCAGATGGAATGAAAAAACATCCATACACCCATACATGTTTTTCCTTGCAGGGGTATGGGGATGTGGTGCGTGTCTTCTCCAATCATTGGGTGAGAGGCGGACTGCACCCAGACACGTCACCAGCCCATCACAGGCAACACAGAGACACAAAACAATACATGCACACACTCACAACTAAGCACAGTTAAGAGAGACCATTTAATCTAACAGTCATGTTTATATGGGAGTCTAAAACCAGAGTAAGAATCAAATCTGGTCTTCAACCTAAGACCTTCTCACTGCAAGACAACAGTGCTACCAACTTTCCCGTCATTCACCCATACAAGTCCAAAGTCAAAGAAACTTGAGATGCACACAATCCACTAAACAAATTCACAATTCTAGATTAAAAAATATTACGGGCTACACAGTGGCACACTTGCAAAAAGAAGGTCTTGAGTTGAATGACCGTCAACTCATTCAACTCTTTCTGCATAGAGTCTCTGGGGTCTTTTTGCATAGAGTTTGTGTGTTCTCCTTGTGCATGCAGGGTTTCCCTCTGCATCCTACAGTCCAAAAACATGACTGTTGGGTTAATTGCTGTCTTTAATTTCTCTTTACTGTATTTAGTCTCTTGGGTGTACGTATGCATTGGTGTTTGTCCTGTGTATTTCTGTGTTGCCTTGTGATGGACATGTGACCTATCCAGGGTGTATCCCACCTCTCGTGCAATTACCGCTGAAGATAAGCACCAGCCTTCCTGCAGCCATGCAGGTATAAGCGTTTATAGCCAATGAACAGATTGAAATATACATTTTCTAGAGTTGCTAACAACTGGATATACAATTTTTGCTGTATTTTCTTTCCAAAAGATTAGGTTTATCCAAAGTAATTCCAAAAAGTCATTTATCTCATGTGTACATTTTGGCAGGTATGTGGACAGTAGGGGTCTGGTTTCTATTTCCAGTTAACAAAAGCATTAAATGATTACTTAACTCCTAAATCTACCTGGAATAAATAATATTTAGGCTTGACTGTTTTTACATGGTAGTTAGTTAGATTACAATATATCCCATTACTAGGCTAGAAAGACCAGAATTTAGCAGAATGAGCTCAAGACTGTTGCTGGGATAATTACTTTTTGGGTTTCACCCAAAGACCTGTCAGCCCTGTGACTCAGTCTTGGACAAATGAAAGACAATTGTTGATGGATGAATGGATGATTGGATGGATGTTTCTTTCTGGAACGTAGAGACATGCAGACACAGACAGAAATAGGTTTATCTAAATTAGGTATCTTCTCATTTGTCACAAATCCTAATCAAGAAAGAGTATGGACTTTGAGATTGTGAAGCTTTTAAATATTAATATTTTATAATGTGATGCTTCTTTTGTTCTCCAGTAAATAAGTTATTTTGCAACATGCTTACACATGCTTTTGTGCATTTTATTATCAGTATCTCTGCCAAAGTACAAATCTTTTTTTAGGAGGTAGAGAGAAATCCAATTATGTATGTACTGCTATGACAAACGTAGAAGTAAAATTCTTTCCCAGTTTACAAAATTCAAAGCCCAGCTGGAGAACGGATGTCAGAATACGGTTGCCAAGATTCCACTTTTGAGATATTTGGTTACCAGGGCTTCAAAAGAGCAAAGCATCGCTCCGTGTTACAGTTCACTGCTCAGCCACAGTGACCTGCACATTTTGCACACCTTCCTGGAGCCTTAATGAGCACTTTTCAGTGACATTGTCTTTGATCTCTCTCCCTCTTTGCACTTGGTTTACATCCACGTGGAGCAGGCGGACAACCTTATGTTGCATCAATTGGCAATCAATTCTCCTGCCTCGACAGCCTCAACTGAAAAAGAAATAAACAAGCACACTTGCCTCTATGCACACACCAGTATTCTACATATCGGGAAAAGCATATTCTACTCTTGCGCACCAACGCTCTCAAACTGATGAAAGATTTATTTGAAATTGTAAATATGACGCGTGGGACTTTGCTTACACTCTGCTTATATGAGTTTTGGGACTCTGAAATCTGTGGTGTTCCAAGAACTGCCTAAAATGCTGTGTGAAGCCATCCAGGTAATGAGCCATGACACTATCCACTATGTTTTATTCAAAACTTAAGAACAAGCAGTGTGTTTGGGGACAAAACAAGACCTGGTCAACCACCGATGCAGTGTAAAAATAAGAGGAATCAAATTCCCTGTATTCAGAAACAGCACTACAGACTAGAGATAGCCTTTTCCTATTAGTTGTCCTTCACAAGTCCTCATTGCTGCAAGGCAGGGTCAGAGGAAAAAGGCACCCAATCCCAGGACGTGATGATGAAACCGTGACAAATCAACTCATTCTTTCACTTCAGATTTTGCAAGTCGCTGCGCCACGGGATTTCAGCCTCTCTTTGAGTTTAGAAGCTGGCGAATCTGGAGACTCAATGGTGTTCATTTCTCTAATCCAATCCCTGTATAAAACCTCCCTTTGAACGTCTGCGGAGAAGCTGAAAGGCAGCACACATCCTTCCCTCGGTTCGCCTGCTCTCTGCCTCTCTGATCCACGCTCGGTGTCCGACGCACAGGCGCTCGAATAGAGCAGATCTAATTAAGTTTGCTGATGGTGAAAGTGATGATTATTCTGGAGCATATAGAGAGGAGGGACGACCAGGGCATGGAAGATAACGAGAACAACTTCGGAGTGTGTGCGCGTGCGGGGGTGGGGTTATTGCACTACGGTCATTCTCCCTTATAATCGTCCTCGTGAAGAGTGAAGATAAAGAGTGCCACCTTTCTTAACGGCGATATCCAACTAACTTAATTTTAACTATATTTTTTATATATATATGAAATAACATCAGTTTTAACAACTACTACTTCATATACACTTCTTTTGTATGTTTTCTAAAGCAATGCCACTATAAATTATTTCTTAGTAATGACCTACATTTCTCAAGAAAGGCAGCTATAATCCAGAACTTAATTTATAGCACTAACGTCTTTTTAATTTGCTCTAATAATTTTTTACTTGCATTCCAAACAGACAAGATATTTATCCCCATATTTCCTCCCTGCATGTATTCTGTTAATGCAGACTGCAGGTGCCCTCCATCGGTTTTCTAAAACTAAGCACCCAGTTTACCGTTAACTGACCATCCCCGCATCCTGCCTGCCACCCTCACTTCTGAGCGCCTCCTACTCTCACTTCCTCCAGTTACGTCCCAGCCAACCGGGAGTATTCTCGCTGCTGGAATACATTAAATTGCAGCGGTGTGGGTAGAGCGCGCCCTGAATGCCATTCACACATCCCGCGCGCAGGGGAGCTCGGTCACCGTCAGAATCATCGGCGGATCTCCGTGCGCTCTGCGTGCGCCCCGAGCGCACTAGAACCGTCTCCAATCAAACACTGCACGAGTTAGAGGACGGCTGCTTACCCCGCTTCAGTGGACTTTGCTCATTTGTTCATTAGGAAGACGCGTTAAAATAATTAGCACACCTGGAAGAGCCGAGTCTCTTAAGTCTCACATCAGCGACTCACTTGGAGAGGACTCACAGAAGCCTCGCTTCTGACCGTCTTGGGAGGTTTTCAGCTGGAAACATAACGCATTTTTTTTAAGGGAGGAGGAGATCAGGCTTCAGCTGTTTAGTTCAACTTGCGCAGTCTTTTTTTCTTCTTTTTTTCGTTTTTTTGCGCGCAACCTTTCTCCAATGCCCCCCGGTGTATGCGCACAGCAGAACAGAACTTCACGATCCTATGAGGGGATTTTGCGGAGATTGATTCCGAGCAGTCACGGACCAAAAAGACTTACAGAATAAGGTAAGGACACAACAGCTGAAGTACGAAAAGTGATTGCAGACGAGAATATGTTTAGTCTTAAGCGAAACAATAATTTATCTTAACAGTATGGATTGTATAATCGCATTCAAAAGTGGTTATTCATTTATTTTTGTCACTTATATATTCAAGGCAAAAATAAAAAAAGTAGTGTTTCTCTCTCTCTTTTTTTTGTTTTTTTCTTTCCTCGGTGTGATCTCGCTCTTCCTTTCTGTCTGTCCTCCAACAGGACTCATTAGGAGTGCAAGGAGAATGAAGAGTCACCGGGGCCGGGGCAAACACCATGAGTGGCCCGTGGACCTCCACTAGACTGACGGCCCTCATGTTTCTATGGAAGTGGTTGACATTAAGCCTGCTCCTAAGCTGGTTGTCAGGGGGGGCCAGTGCCGCGGACTCTGCCGGCGCTGGCTTCAGTGGCTCAAATGGACCCCTGGGCTGGCTCCTGTCGGAGAAGGGTCCTTTTCACAACTCGCAGGAGTTTGTTGATTTCACAGAGCGCTACCAGCAGGGATTCACCACCAAGTACAAAATATACAGGTAAGAGTTTGGAGATCTGAACTCTTTAAAAATATTTTGTGAAACGTTGTCCTGCATCCAAAAAGGAATAAGGTCTGTGCAGTTACTTTGGCTTCTTTTGTAGCCTTCCCTTGGGGAGGGGAGGTGGGGGGGGGGAGGTTGTTCAGCAAAGCATAGGCAAGAGATGACACTATGCTTTTCTTTTCACCACAAAAGATGCAGATTTAGTAGGTGGCAAACAGAGGGATGAGGGACTGAGAAGATTACTCAGTGGAGTTTTGCATACAAATGAAAGCTCTGCGTGCCTTCTGCATAGATCTAAGCTTCTCTCCGTGCTGCTGCTCGCTTCCTTTTTAGTAGGTAGCAGAGGCATATGGTTGGAGTCTGATACAAACTCTAAATGGTGCATATCAGTGGAAACTTAAAGTAGAGATACCACAGGAGGGTTAGAACAAAGCAGTGGGATGTTACAGATATCTAACTGAGCCTGTTGATGTGTGACAGTGGGTAGACCAAGTGGCTTTAGAAGTGTGTGTGGTGATTGTGTGCGAAGACCCAGTGGGTTATTGTTTGAAAGCTGTATTCAATGCATTGTGGCATTTTCTGTTTGGACCAGAGCACGGTTTAGAATGCAACGAGGCTTATTCACGTGTAAACTCATAAAATGTAAATTATGGTGAGTTGAATATTTCTTTCGTGTAAATGATTCAAAACAATTTCCAAAAAATAATAAAGGATTGTAAATTGTCAGATTGTTCAAGAATTCATATTTTACCATCTCAAACCTCGTCCAAAGTTAAAAGGAAATGTTCAGGACAGCAGAATATAAAACGAGCTGCATAAACTATAAAATGGAAATACCCCAATCAGTGGGCCTGATATCAGAACAGACATTTTATTTCCTTGATTGACAGATCAGATAGTTGAGATGGAATTTTATTTCCGTATCTACTAACAAAAGAACAGCTAAGAATATTGACATTTTTGGTGTATAAACACATAAATTAAAAGCATAATCCTTTGTAAATAAAAGTTTCAAAAAACCAGGATGGTATCTCCCCTGTACTGTTGTAATTAAAAGCATTTGCTTGTAAATAAGGGGGTGGGGGGGGGACACTACATTTTTGTCTCTTCTATGTGTTTTAGTTCTTAGGAGAAATTGAAATCTGAACGTCTTATTTCAAAGAAAACCTGAAAACTGGTTTTGACCAGTAAAAAGCCTGAACTGTGTATCTCTGCTGTGAATTTACTTTTGAGCGTTCAAATATAATAAGACAGTTAACACACTTGATGTGTTTGTCCCCATAGCCTTTTTTCTTCTGAGGAGAGAAAGACATCTGAGGCATTTAAACATCATCCCTGAAACCCAGACTGATTAAATCCTTTTAGGCTGGTGGTTCAGCAAACATCTGTGGCAGTCAGTGTGACCTACACACAGTGCATACTGTATCTGAAAGGGCACAATCGTGTTTGTCATTGTGGGTCCTGTTGCTCTGAGGGATGCGCGTTTGTATATAAAAACATTTAGTTAAAAAAAAAAAAATCACTACGTAAAGGTTGAGAAATTCCTCTGATCTGCTGAACTCCCCCTCCCTGGAAAAAGCTTGTCATTTCAAATTAGCCCGAACCAAATGATGGTTTTCTTATTATACTAAAGTTCTAGCGTGCTGTTTACCCACCGACAATTTTCATCAGCGGATGCTGTGCAAGTTGATTGAGCATGACTGGCTCGGCATACTTGAGTGTCTGGACTCGTGGCTGTATGTGCAAGGTAAGTGTTTTGATGATCCGTGATGAGGGTGTCGCCACTGTTCAGGAGGAGGACTGTTGCCAGCTGAACAGAGACTTGACTGACACTGGCATTTAGCAGCTGACAGGGGCAACAATGCCAGGCAAAGAAAGAGAATGTAGCTCTGTTTGCTTCTCTACATCCATCATTTCCTCCCCTCTTCCATCTCCGCTGGGGTCCCCTTTTTGTTTTGTAGAACGTCTTCATACCTTGTTGCCCCCCCTCCTTACTTTTGCATTTTGCACCTCAGCCAGGACATGAAAAGCTGACAGATATTAGCATACATTAGTTAAATGGATGCACAAGATTAACTGATTTACATAACAGGAAACCAGATGTATTTTCTCATGACTTTTATTTGAAAAGCCAAGATGAAAGCTTTCCTAAGGACAAAAATAAGTGGAAATGTAAGCCTCATAAGTCTACAGTTGTCTTGTCCCTTAGGTTTTCTCTGGCCTTTGGAGTTTTCTGTTAAAAAATTAAAGAAAACTCTTTCTAATTACAGCAAACTGCATTTGAAGTTAAAGTGAAAAGGTTAAATATTATATTGTTGAAGTAAAAAGATAGTGTTCCCACGTTGTCATTTGCTTCCCACTGCTTTAAAAAGGCAAACCTTTTACAGCTTTAAATATCTTGCACTTTTAACACCAGGCTCCATCAGAAGGCATTCGACGACATTGACAAATTAAATGGGAGCAATCAGAGTTTTTTTTTTTTTTTGGTATTGTATGAGGGGTAATAATAGCCTTACAGTTTCAGAAAGAAAATTTGAGCCATCAAAGTATTTTAATGTTTTTCTTTTTCTTTTTCTTGGGCTTTCATAGTGAAGCAGTTGCTAACACTGCTTTCTTTCAGCAAGAAGGCCCAGAGCTCTGAATCCCTACTGGGAGCAGTGTAAAGTGTGGGTTTTCTCTTCCCACAGTCCAAAAACTTGCATGTTAGGCTAATTAGTTATGCTAAATTACCCTGGGTTGTGCCTGTGTGTGTGTGTGTGTGTGTTTGGTTGTGTGTGCTATGTTGTGTTGAGATGGACTGGCGTCTTGTCTTGAGTGTACCCTGCTCCTCGCCCAATGTGACCGATGCAGAATGGCACCAAGCAGTGTAAAGTGTGCAAGCACTTAACTGGGTGCAAATGGGCGGTACGTTTGTTTTTTTCAGCAGTGTTGCACTTGTTGTATATACGATAAGCGTAGTTAATGCATTTTATACCATCACCACTATACATTTGAAATTCTGAAAATAAACCTGATTTTGCATTCAGCCTTTGAGAAAAGCAATCTTTACCATTTCTACACATTTTACCTGTAAGAAGAGAAACCAAATTACACATGTAGAGTAAGAAGTAGACCCTAGTAAACCCAGATCGACAGCAAGTTAATTCAAGAAAATATATTAGTAGCTAATCTATTTTCCGCTTTATTTGTATGTCTTACTCACATTTTCTATCTTTTCTCCCCCTTTGGCAAATGATTTCAAACCAATTCCTTTCCCCTGCTCATAAATATTCTCCAGAGCTCAGTTGGCCTTTCCCGTCAGGGGGCAGGTGAGAGGCAGTTGAGGATTAAGGAGAGATCCAGAGGAGTTAGAATATAAATGGGGGGGTCTTTATCCCCACCTGCTGGTCAGTCCCTTCACCGGAATAACCCAGGGAATTATCTCTTTCTGCTATTTTTTTTTTTGTTTTGTTTTGTTTTGTTTTTTGTTTTAACAAGTTCTGAATCTTCTTGGAGTCGTAATCAGAAGAGGAATGGCTACATCTTTTTACACTGGCAAACCGTCATTTGCTGCAAGGTATTAAGGGGAGATTTAATAGCTTAGAAATGTACAGCTCTCGGTTGCAGCGTAGCAATGTAAAGCACCTGAAAAGATGTGATTCTATAGCAAATCCTCTGAATGAAAGAAGTTTTATAAAAAACTATTATTCTTTTTAAGCTCTTAAGTGCAGTAATGGCACACATAGATGGATTCATTGAGTTCAAAAGCAGTGAAAAACAAGCACAGACGCACTTAACGGTATTGCTTCCGCTGTGACTGCAGTAAAATCCACCTGTATGTCAGACATAATGGGGTTTTTAAAAAAAGCTATTCATTCATTCTTTTTTTCTGAACTGTGGGTTACAAACCTCCAAACTGCTTTGTTGCTTTTATTTCCCATTGAATGCAGCCAACCGCTACCTTGTGTCCTTGTCAAGCAGACGTACTTGGGTACATTGGGAAACACACAGCTGAAGCAGTTAATACAAATTTAGATTGTCCGTATAATTTGTACCGAGAGCATGGGGCTGAATTAGAGATATTTTCTCGAACCCGATGCCAACAAAACAGAAAACTGGATGTGAAATGAAGAAAAGCATATTTCATTTAATGATTTAGGAGCTGGTGATGTTGTGAAACCATCTCCGCTTGCGAGAAGTTCTTACCCCATAATTTCTTGGGTGCAGTGGAGCCATATGAGGACAAAGTAGCATATTAGTCAAAATGTCAGCACCTCCCTTCTTCTTCTTCATGGGCCATAATTTTTAAATCACGCCTCATCTCTTTTGTTTTCTCCTCTCTTTTCCCTTGTCAGCCCACTGGCGATTACATTGACTTCATTTGATGTAAGGAGATGTCTCTTGTAATTATGGTCTGATTAGTGTTTCAATTATACAGGCATGTTTGTGGAGAGGTTGGGCTGCTGAGGCATGATTTCACAACACCTGTCATTTTGTGTTGCCTGTTGTACTTTATCTACCTCCTGTTTATTGCTTTCCCATGGAATTGTGAATGCTTTAGATGAGAAGGCACATTTAAAACAGATTATGAAATGGGATGGAATAAATGGGCATGGAGCTGCAATGAAAAAGCAATGAAGAGAACAGAGAGGGAAGAAGAATACTAGAGAAAAGCGATTAAGAAATGCAATACCGTAATGCACAGCAATGCTGCTCGATAAACCATTTAGAGTATAGATCTGCACAAATTCATATTTCATATTTAAGGCTGAAGAATAAAATCTTACTTTTAAATTATGTGTAATTAACATAAATATGTAATGGATCACAATGAGACTTGGTGCATTTACATGTTTAATTTTGTTGTGATCTATGAGACATGCTGCGAGTTTCTATGCATTCCTAAATTAACTTTGTGAATGCTTGGGAGTCAATGCATCACAAGACATTTTGCTGTTGGGGCGGCGGTACATCAGAGATTTGTTTTGACTGCTACCACGGAGACTAGCAGTAATAAA